TAAGTGTCTATGAATCATTTACAAATAAACCAAATAATAAAAATAAAAATGACAAAATAATTAATCAATAAATTTTGTTTAAAATAATTACTTGTAGTTTTTGATTGAACGCTATACACACTTTCTGTGACATCTGAATCATCTGTGTTTGAAATTATATCAGAACATTGCAAAGYATAATTGTATATGTATCGGGTCCTTTTGCCTCCCCATGTGGCATCTTGGTCATCATTTAAATCTATCATCAGAATCATAAAACAAGTTTAGATTATACAACTTAATAACTAAAAACAATATTTACATACCATTAATAGTATTCATATCGTCCACTTGTCTTTTTAGAGTGTTTACCATATCTGAAAATTAATTAATTATAAAAACCTTYCAATTTCATTCACATTCCAGAAATAATTTCTATATATTACATCTAACATATCCGTTATTATTTAAATGTTTCATTACAAGTACGCTCAACTCTCTATGTAAACAATAGAAAAATATAGGAATGGGCAAAAGGTATACAAGAAGATCAAGTTTTATTAATTAAGTTCTAGAGAATTATAATACCTATTCTAAATGAAATAAAAAAAAAATATGACAAATAAGAAAAACTGAGGTTTAATTTTGTAGTCTGTATATTATCATTATTTTATGAAAAAAATTTTTTTTTGCTTATTMTTAGTAGAATAAATTTATTGCCAAATTGCATGAAAAATTAATTAATTTAATATTTCAATAAAACTAAATAAATYAATCATGGGCCACCAGATTATGAATAATTCACCATTCAAAACAAAATGTAAGAACTTCATTATATTAATCTACAATTAATAAATTAGTAAAATATATAAGTTGTAAGTATAAATAATTGATATGCAATAAACCTTCATGACCAAAATTGTTTATTATCTGCTGTAGTGGATATGAGTTGTAAATATATATGAGGACATGAGGTAGGTATGTGACTCAAAAAATTTTCAAAACAAATTAATTTTTATTCCACTAGTGATTCAAGTAACCAAGACTCGAGTGCATTATAATTAACGATAATTTATAATAAAGACTTACCGTGAAAAAACCGCCAACAAAAACCGTTGTAAAAACTGTGTATAATGAATACAGTTACACTGGACGCCAAAACAGTAAAACACAGTCCAAATTAGTGACGTAGTACCACAAAACACGGTGGCTATATAGTCACTACTGGTAACTGGACACTAGCAAACGACCATTGACCGTTCAAACACAACGAGCCTGACATAACATGAAGAAACATGCAAACACAAGACGGCTTGTCGGAAACTATTCACAAATGCCATAAGCACAATCGACCTGATATGTCGACTATCGAAATTCTCGATAGTACTCAGCGTCTCAGCGTCAATATTATTCGAGGAGACGTTCGKTCAGGATCATTGGCGTTCTTACGACGGAATCCAAAAGCACGACAATTTGGAATCCTAATCTTTTAAAACTAGAGCAACATTGTTGAAACACATTAACTGTTTCTTATACTGAGCAAAACTTCGAGAACACAACATAATTTCATTATTAAAGATATAGAACCAATGTTATTGTTATAGTGTTTATCACTGATGAACGGTTATGATAATAATTGATAACGTTAATTTTGATTATACAATATACTTCCATCCTTGACAATTTTATTATTAATTTGTTATTAATTATATTTTATCATCATGTCTTTCACGTTTAGTTTTATTAGTTAAAATATTACTATACATTACTATATTAGTGTGAATATTGACCTATTATAAGACTTAAAAGGATGTCAGCGCTATATTTGTAACTCACATGCGCGACATAAAAAATATGTTTGTCAACAAAATCAATTATGACAATTTTTGGTTTTTAGCTTTAATTGTGAAATGAATTGACTTACAACAATTAAATTTAAATTTAAATCATGGTATATCAAAGTATGTACAATACTACAATGTATTAAATATTAAAAATAATCATATTACATCGCAAAACAACCAAAATATTATGAAAAAGACAACTTAAAAAATACAAACCCATTTCTTAACTYTAAGTCTGATAAAAGATAAATACAAAATTTAATTTAATATTTAACCCAAAAATGTATATGATTGGTTCTATTGAACGCTAATTTGTTTCACTCGGGTCAATGAGAGAAACAAATAGAGTATTGATATTGTCTTATCTCTGAACCACTATAGGTTCGTTGGAACATGCTTTTACGGTTTATTATATTAAATTATTAACATCAAACATTATAAACACTTAACAATTGTMATAATCGGAAAAAATTACTGCATCAGAATTGCTTGCCAAAAATTCCAAATTGTATGACGTGTATCCACAAGTTTTTTTATCAAGCACTTATTATGTGCACAACTTTTTTTTAACTTTTCTAATTTTTTTTTAAAAAACACATGAATAAAAACTCTTAATGAATTGTTACAACTAATTAGTTTCTAGATTGAAATAGTTTTGTATCTAAGTAAMCATTTTATCAAACTATAATTATTGTGTGTATTGGGGTCTGTTTTACAGTTTGAAATGCCATGTAAAACTATAAAATATTTTCACTTGATTACCCTAAACTTCAATTTTTTATTAATACTTAATATAACCACAGTATCGCCTTCTCCAATTTGAGAAAATGTTTACATAAATATATAAAATATTTCAAAAATAATTCAAACAAACTCCTCTAAGAGATGACATGGCATTTAGACATTCCAATTTATGTTTATTTTTTGGCATGCAATTAGGATACATAAAAAAAATGTATGTAGACAATATTGTTATTATAAACTATATATATATATATATATATTATACATTATGTGTTTATGCATTTTAATCTTTAATAATATTTTAATTTATGAGTAATTAATTTAAAATATTTTGTAGAAATAGTAGCTTATTTAAATTGTATAAATACTTGAGAGCCAAAACATTAATTTTGTAAAAACAAAAGAA